TTTTTATTACTGAGCCATCATGGGTTGAGGATGGAAATATTCCCCTCTAAAAATTCCCCCCCCCCCATGTTTTAGGTCCTGTGGTAGCCTTGGGCTCAAGCCAAAGGAGTTGGGGCAGTGTTGATCTTATGGGATAACTCATCCATGAACAGGGACATTGCTCCTGAGGTGGCAGAGGATGACTGGCTTCACTTTGAGCTGGTTATAGAAAACCCTGAATACCCTTCTGATGTACCAGCCACCCTGCTGCCCAATTGTTTCCCTCTCTGGTTTCCTAGATTTGATCTTTGAGATGTTGTTGGACTCTCCATAATTTTGGGGGCTGGGCTACTTCAATCCTCATATCCTAGGGGCAGGGATAAAAAGAGCCAGTGAGCAACCATGGGCTGTTCTCAAGTAATTTGTGCCCAACATGTGCTGGGGCCATACATTACACCTTATTTTCACTTTGGACAGTTGCTTGGTGATCTAAATATGGAAGGCATTGCATCTACTCCTTTGCCATGATTTTTGGTTCAGTTAAGTTGCTGGTACATGGGATCTCTGCAGTATGTGACCCATTAAGAGCTTTGCCCCAAGCCCCTAATGGCTCTGGAAACTTTCTAGACAACATGAGGAATTTCCCAATGATCTGCCAGTCTGTTCCATCAATTGCCTGGTTAGCCTCTGACCTGGGCTTTCAGTGAAATTGCTCCCAAGCAGTCTTTTTCTGTGTGCTGACCCTGGAGTGCACCTTAGTTCTCTGAGGAATATTGGGAGAGATAAAACATCAGAAATGATGCATAGAACACCAGTGGAGGAAGACTGAATCTGATCAAGCATGGGTACCAGTTCAAGTTTGAACCTATACTGTGGTGATAATAGAGTAATTACTTTTCTTCCATTATTGTGTTAGCAGGCTACCAGCTGGCAGAGTTGTTTAAGATGGTGAATTCTGTCCTTGGAAGGGCTGAGCAGAGAGAGCTTCTACCTGGCTGCTCTGATTCTTGATTCTATCTGGGGAGTGGCTGATGTGGTGACTAGTTCTGTTTTCTGGACTCCTTTTGGCTTATTAATTCTGAGGAATTGTATAGGTTGGTCCTTGGCATGACTGCAAGCTTGGCCCATGCCCCTTCTGATTTGGGAGGGGCGGTGCCAGCAGCTAGAAGGATAAACCTCCTTTGAACCAGTAGTCTTTTAGAAATATCACCCTGTTTCTGGGGAAAGGCTGTTGATGCAGTGGGGATCCAGCTGCAGAGCACTCTAGGGAAACTGATTGTTTTGACTGTTTTCACTCAGGGTTCAGGCCTGGGCCTGGGATGGCAGTCTTGTTGAAATCTTGATGGCTGTAGTACACCCTTCTTGGTCCTTTTAGACCTCTTGGTAGCTTTTGATATCATCAGTTATAGCATCCTTCTTGACCACCTGCAGAGGGTGGGGAGTGGATGCACTGATTTACAGTGATTCCACTTCTATCTCAACGGGTGGTTCAAATCAGTAGTAGTATGGTGGGAAGAAGGTGGCTTGGTAGCTACCTCCTTGCAGGATGTCACTAAGAGTTTATTCTCTCCTCCTTTCTGTTTAACATTTATAT